CAACAGTAATATGAATTTTTCCAAGGAAAAATTAGGACATTACCAAATGTTATTGCACATGTCAGTAATGCCAGCACTTGGGATATGAGACAAAAGGACCACCAAATTCAAGACCAGACTGGGCTAGATAGCAAGTTGGAGGCTTGCCTGTCTCAAAACAGAAACAAAATAGGATGCTAAAACAGGACTCTACCAAGAGGCTGGGGATTTAGCTCAGCGGCATAAGCGCTTGCCTTGCAAGTAGGCAGTCGTGAGTTCGATCCCTGGTACCGATAAAAAGGAAAAAAACAAAAAAAAAAAACAGGACTCTACCTTCTTGGGATGAAGGAAAATCTATTCCAAACAAAATGGCCCATGGAAGAACAACACCTGATCTCCTTAAATTATGAAAAAACCATAAAAATGACTCAGGAAATACAAACAAGGTAGAAATGTACTTTGTCATTTCTCCTGACTTAAAACAAGGAACTGAGTAAATCATCACCCTTATATTCTAACTGTTTAGCAGTATTTCACAGGCTTACTCTCCTGGAGGAACTCTGGAACTAAGATATGCAGATATTATATATTTCTTCATTGACATAAGTCTGGACCCATTCTTTCATACTATAAGCTCTAGATTACAATACAAAAGTATCCTTTTGATGCTATTGTCAAACACAACTTTAACTTTACCTAGTCACAATAGCATCTACTGAATATATTCTCAGCAGGGGTGATATTGACAACAAAGGAAAAACTGGGTCTTGAGGAAGTAGAAGAGAGTACTTATCATTTTATGTACAAAGCACAAATATATATATATACTCAACCATACAAATACACTGCATATCTGGAGTACTAAAATTTCACTGGGCAGCAGAGGCAGAGAAAGCATGGGAGGAAAATACTAAAAAAAGATCCTGAGCAGGCGATAATGAAATAATGATTGATTAAAGAACACTGATGTATTTCATGTTAGAAGGCTACCAACTGGCTTGACCTCCATATAAAATATACCTTTAAAATGTAAGCTTCAAGCTTATCTTTAGTATTAATTTTCAGGTATAACAGGTTCAAAACTCTGCTTATATATTCTATAAATAACAAACGATGTTACCAGAAAATAGGATAAAGCCCTGCAGCTTACTCCCTTGAGCAAATGAGCGTAAGTCTTTGACTCGCCCCTCTGCTTCTGCTTTTGACTTCTGCTTTTGACATGAGTAACATTCTCTGGTACCACTTTCCACCTTGGTGCTGCAACTTAACATGCAAACATATTCAGGTTCAGTTTAGTTCAAATAAGTCAAAACTGATGATAAATACATGATAAATACATGAGAACATTTTGAAATTAAAGTCAGGGAAGAGCAATCACAAAAATGACAACAGACTGTTTCCAGATTTATTCTTACTCCCTCAATTATTCCCAGACTTAGATATTGACCTTTCAACCAGAAATAAATACAACAGACATCTCCACTAATACATCCTTTGGTTCTCTATTGCTGTGTAATAAATTAGCACACATTTAACAGTTTATTTTAATGCCTATGCTGGGCATCATGGCACACACCGGTAATCCCAGTACTCTGGGAGACTGAGGCAGATATTGCAAATTCAAACCCAGGTTGGGCAACTCAGCAGCTTAATGAGATCCTGTCTCCCAAGTGCTGGAATTACCAGTGTGTGCCACACGCTGGGAAATATGCATCTTTTTACAAAGCCATTATATATTGCTAGCTTTTTAAATCATTCCAATTTTAGTATATGTACTGCCGAGAAGAATCAAAGGGAGGATAATAGAGAGGGTGTATATGATCAAAACACGTGCACTGAAACCCAATGTTTCATAAAATTAACAGGCATCAATAAAAAAAATTCATTATATAGCCACATGAAAAAAAAAAATGAAGCCAAAGTGGGTGATGGAGGTGTACCCCTGGGGACTTAGTCTTGTCTCAAGCCCCTTCCATTCTGAATCTCTTTCCTTACCTCTGCCTCTTGGCTATATTAGCAATTCTCTGTGCCGTGCCCATCTTCATGCTGTTTTTGCCTTGCAACAGCCCTTAAAAATAATGCATCTGGCTGCAATCATGGGCTAAGATAAATCTTTGCTCCTCTAAGTTGATTTATATCAGGTATTTTGTCACACTGACAAAATGCTAACATGCAGACAGAGGAGTTCATGACAGCATCATTCCTCATAGAATATAAATGCCCATCAACAAAATGTGGTATACAAAATGTGCTATATCCATACAACAAAATACTCAATAATTACAAAGAACTAATTACTAATACATACTACAACATATAATGATCTCAAAAAATGTCGCTATGTTAAAGAAACTAAACACTGATAAGCAATGTTTAGATAAAGTAAGTTTATAAGGAAAGTAGGTCAGTGGAGCTGAGGATAAAAGGGAGGAATAACTACAAATGGGTAAAAAGATAATGGAAATGTTCTGTATTTAATTGTAGTGATGAATGTACAATTGTTAATTTACAAAATCATTATATTATACAGTTACACTGTCTGGATGTTATGATACTTAAATTATACATTAATAAAATTGTTTTTTGAGATATCCAAATGTGTCGGGCCTATAATCCCAGCATTTGGGAGGTTAAGGTAAGATCATGAGTTTGAGGACGGCCTAGGTTACATAAGTGAGTTCAAGTCCAGCCTGAGTAACATAGTGAGACTATGTCTCAGAAAAAAATAAGAAAATATCCAAGTGCTTTCTGAAAGTTTGTGAATAGGAGAATGAAAATTAAGATCACAAAGAAGAACAAAAGTCTGACAATACCAAAGCTAGAAGATATAGGGTAAGAAAATTTGTACTCACAAATGGTATGAGTATCAAAAGACACAATTACTCTTAAAAAAAAACCCAGCTTGTACTGATGCTACAAAGTTACACCTGTATATGCTAGGCACCAAATCACTTGAATGTAGATATAGGAGCCAAATGGTAAATATTTTAGGTTTTACGTGCCACACAAGCTGCCTCAACTAACTCAACTCTACTCTGTATCACAAAACAGGCATGGATAACTCGTAAACAAATAGGCACAGCCATGTTACAATAAACGTTATTTACAAAAATGGGCATTGAACCAAATTTAACTAGTAGGTAGTACTTTGACAATCCCTTCCTTAAAGAAACACTTATATGTGTGATCCACATGGACTTCTTATTAGCAGTAAAAAAAAAAACAAATGTCCACTTACAAGAGAAGGAATAAAAAAATTGTGGCATATTTTCAAGATGGAATACCCACAGCAGTAAAAATGAACTATACTCTTGCTTCCTGCAACAACACAGAAAAATCTTAGAAATAGTAAGTGAGAAAAGCAATATATAGAAGAGAAACATGATTTAATCACATACATATAAAGTTCAAAAATAATCACAGCAAAACAAAATGTATCTGCTATGGAAACATATGGAAAGTATATAGAAGATAAAAGATAACAATAGGGGATGGTAAAAATTCAGATGGTGTTTACTTCCCAAAAGAAGGCCAATGACAGGATCAGGGATTAAAACCATTAGAGTTTATTGTTTCGGTATTGTTGTGGCTTTTATACTGTACATGAGCTCATAGAAGTCCATAATTTATATGTGTAAGATATATTTGATTTTGTATATATAATGTACACATAAAAACTGTTGTTTTTATATTGTTTTGTTGTTTTTTGTTGTTTTTTATATATCTTATTATGTTATCCAAGCTGGCCTTGAAATTGCTGTGTACATACCCAGGTTGTCCATGAATTCATGATACTCCCGCCTCAGCCTCTCACGTGCTTCTATTGCAGTTGTGTACCACCCCCAGCAAAACTTTTCTTAATAGAAAATTAACTGAGATACCCTTTACATTCAGCTGAAAACCTCCAAAAGACAGAATAGACTGCCTGTAGTACAACAGAAAGTATGTAACTAGTCAACAATCATGGTATTGATATTCCTAGCCAAGAATGTAGATTACTACAAAACACCAAAAAGATTTGTAACTTCCATTTATATTAAGAATTGATAAAAGTGAAAAAGCACTGAAAATTATTCTAAAATTTAAAAATAAAAGCATGCATTAATTAATCTTCCTTAAATACAATTTTTTTGTATTTAAGTAAGTTTATAACTGTGGATCACTATTAGAAACTTTAATTGAGCAGGTTAACTCAATCCCTGAAGGATTGTCAGGTACAGTACTGTATTGTGATTCTGGCGCCATCTGGTGATAAACCAATGCAACAGCAGGATTTTTAAAAGGTATTTACTAGGCATATTTCACATAAATCTTTAAGTGATTTTTGGAAGACAGGCAATAAAATAAGGTATATTGTCTAAAACAGAATCTCTGTCTTCAATGAAAAAATCTACAGTTAAAATATGACTATCAGGATATAATAAAAGAGTCTGCTCTTATTTAAAAGTTTCCTCTGAACTATACTTCTAGAACTTTCAGGCAAGAAATCTTCAGGGGTATATGTGCAAACACAATCTATCAAGTAACTACATCCATAAATACACAAATTCAGCTTTCAAGGAAAAGACATGTCATGATCTTAAAATGTCTTCTACTTCTCGACACTTCTTTCAAAGGTTAAAGCCCAAATTTCTCTCTTCCTGAATACGTGCTGGGCTTAATGACTAACTTCTCATGAAAGAATGTGGCAGAAGTAGTGGTGAGGAACTTCCAAAATTAGATCATCTTGCCTACTTTAGGACCACTCACCCTGGGGAAAGTCAGCCATCATGTCATGAGGAGACGACAGCCTCATCAATTTCTAAACCTACTCAAAGGAAGAGACACCTCAACAGATTTTGGCTGGTCCAAAGGATTCTTTTTAATACTCGTCTGCAGAGCTATGTTAGGCACTGAGTATACAATCATACCCTTGAAATGCTTATAATTCAGATTAATGTTAGTGAAAGTTTATGTTTTTAACTAAACTTTTCCTCTTGCCTTTGAAGATCAAAAGAAGACATGGAAAGCTTTTCCTTTACCTCTGTGAGGGATCCACAAGCAATGCCACCATGTAGGGCTTCATCCAAAGCAGAGAGAGTCGTAGACAAGAAAGCTGGTAAGAGATTAGCAGACCTCTGTGTCTTTATCCCATAAACCTGAAGAAGAAAATGGTTACATTCTTTGCATCATCTGTATCTATTAAAAAACATATCAAATCCTAAGCTCTGAATTTTTAGCATCTGTGACTCCAATCTATCCCTTCTCCCTCTTATTTGTTCAATAAATATTTATTCCATGCCAAGGACTGTGCTAGAGTATGAGGATGTGATATAACAAAGCCCTGTCTTCACAGGGTTATCCTCAAGCAGAGACTACCAAACTAAGACAAGAAACTCAGGGATCACAGTATGAGACATTGTGACACAGTATACCTCATTGGACCCTGTGATGTAGGAAGACTTCATTGAAGATGTGGATATACGAGCTAAAATCTGAAATGATTAGATCAGCAAAAGAAATTTGAATGCTCCTGCCAAAGAGGACAGAATATACAAAGATCAAAAAACAAAAGAGGAAATGAAACTAATGAAAACTGAAAAAAATAAGCACAGTGCATTTGGAACAGATAAAAGAAGGAACATGGGGCCAGGGGTTTAGCTTAGCGGCGGAAGTACCTGCCCTGGCAAGCACGAGGTCATGAGTTTGACCCTGGGTACCAAAAGAAAGAAAGAGGAAGGAACATGGTCATAGTGCAGCACGTAAGGAGGCTAGAGCAATGATGGAGAATCTTTTAGAGCTCTCAATGACGCAAACAGCTTGCTGCAGCACAAATGCCACGCCACCACCAGACTTAGGACAAACCAGGGGCCTAATCATGAAGACTTCTGTGGAAGTTTGGAGTTTATTCTGAGGAACAAGGAGTGGCATGACCAAGCTATCATTTCAAACTCAAATTGGTATGTGAAAAACAACTTGAAGCAAGCTGTGACGATGAGAAAGAGCCCTCTACAGATATCCACATTGAATTCCTAGAACCTCTCTGGGAACATCACCTTCATTGGAAAAAGGGTCATTGCAGATGTAACTAAGTTAAAGATCTCATGATGAAGAGACAATCTTAGATTATCTGACCGGATCCTAAATGCCACCACAATATATGGAGGAAAAGGCAATGTGAAGATGAAGCAGACAGGGAATGGTCACAAGCCAAGGATGCCAACATTCCTGGTAAACTCAAAGAGGCAAAAAAAACAGATTGTTCACTCAAGCCTCTGGAGAGAACCTACCTCTGCTTCTACCTTGATTTCAGACCTCTAGTCTAAGAACTGTGAGAAAATAATTCTTATTTGAAGCCACTGGCTCTCTAATAGAGAGCCACTCCAGAAAATAATACATCGAGTTATCATGTCAAAAGTTTGCGCTAGAAAAATAGCTTCAAAGTGGGTAATATTGGAAGCTGGGCCATCTGTCAGCAAGATAGTGCAACCATTCCACAGTGATAGTAGCTCAAGGTGGGGAACAGTAATGAGGATAAAAAAAAATCTGCAATGAATCAGTATTTCTAAAGCAAAGTACACAGTATTTCTGAAATTCTTCTAATGCAGTAATATTTTAAAATTCTTTTTGCTTCTCATTTTCAAAACAGCACAATAAAGTGAGTATATTTACTCAGCTCTTAAAAATCATGGGTGAGGGGCTGGGGATTTAGCTCAGCAGCATAAGCACCTGCCTTGCAAGCAGGCTGTTGTGAGTTCAATCCTCAGTGCCGGGGGAAAAAAAAAACCACATGGATGAAGAGAGTAAGTTATGCTCTGTCATGCTTAATGAAGCAATAGAGAAAATTCATCAAAGAAAAATAAAGAAACTGTTGTAAGTTTTAGAACCCAAGGGCTCCAAAGTCATCTTGTACCTAAGACATACGTTGACCTTGTATCTATGGTTAGAAATGTACATAATACAAACTCCAGGGATCTTCCAGACCTCCTCTACCATCAAGGTCGACTGTGGCTATCAGGGACCCCAAGTTACAAATTGAGCACAGAGGATGTCCAAGGCTGTCCTTGTCCTGTCCTTTGAGCCAGATTGCAACCAGCAACTCCCTCTTTTCTGGTCAAAGCTAGAGGCCCTAGGGATTGTGACTGCTGTGGTGCTTATAGTGCTTATGTAATCTGAACGTTAAACATTGTCATCTTGAAAATCTGTCTTATATACACTCATCTCCTTCCAAGGTGATCACTTATAGCTTTTCACTAAAAACTTCAACACACACCTTTAGTGCAGGCTTCTTCAAGCTCTAGGTCCACATATGAATTTAACTACCTTCACATCTCCTCCAAATGTTTCACACAAGTACCTTAAATTAGACAATAACTAAACTAAATTCACTGTCTGCCTTCTGCTTCGCCTTCTAGTATTTCTTATGTCAGGTAATAGGACCACTCAGTTTCTCATAACAAGTATCAGGGAATCATCTGACATTTTCCTGTACTTCCTTACCTTCCACAGCTAAACAATCACCAAATCCTATGAATTCTACCTTTCTTTTTATGTTTTGTTTTTGTTTTTGATTTGTCTTTTTGAGACAAACTCTTGCTATGCAGTTCAGGCTGGTCTTAAGCTCACTTATGAGATTATAAACATTTATGATTTCCCAGTACATAAAAATAATGTCCACAATCCTAAATAAGGTCAGTAAGGTCCTAATGACCTGACATCTGCTTATTTTTTGCTGACATGTTGCTTCCTTAGGGGAGCCTTTCTGACTCCAAACTAAGTAATGCTGCTTTTTACGAAGTTCCAAAGCTCTTATACTATTCCTTCATAGCACTTAGCAATACTTTAATTCACCAATTATTTCCATATTGTTCAAAGTCTGACTTTTGCTCTTGTTGCTTTTGGTGTCTTCCACCATCACAAACTGTTGCTCATCCGCCATGTGCCACCCTGCCCTGGAGCCAGCTGATATGGACTGAAGCCTCTACAAACTGTGAACCAAATAAACCTTTCCTCCTCTAACTTTGGGCAATGGGTATTTTGTTTCAGCGACAAGAGAAAAGTAAGACACTGTTTCTACTCATTTTGACTTTGGGGGAAAAGCCAGAAGCTGCAGGGTACCACAACCAATGAATAAAATGGATGAGGACATACCATGCTTTTATTTTGTTTTTGTTTTTGTACTGGGGAATCAAACTCACGACTTCACGCTTAGCAGGCAGGCACTTATGCCGCTGAGCTAAATCCCCAGCCACCATAATGTTCTTAGGAGTTTGCCTTTCTGTTGGATGGCAATCAGCAGCAGTATTCATCAGATTTGGTATCACAGCTCACAAAGACACAAAAGAGGACTTGCAGAACTGCTTCAAAGTGGATTAAAGTAATAGATGTCAAATTAAAAGGTTTTTCTAGTCCTGTATAACTTTCAAATCAGTACGTTAATTTGAATCTAGTCACAAAATGATCACATACTATTTCAACTTTCTTTTCTCATGAAACAAAGAGAGCTCATTGTGGTTTGTACACTAAATATCCTCCAAAAGGCTTGTATGCCAAAGGCTTGATCAGTAGACTATGGCGTTACTGGGGGGGAGGGGGACCTTTGGGAGGTAGGGTCAGGGAATCATCTGACATTATCCTATACTTTTCTACTTTCCATAGCTAAACAATCATCAATTCCTATTAATTTTACTTCTTATACTAAAACACGATACCTCTGCTTTAACAGGGCCTAGAAGTAGGAAGTTGGATCACCGTGGCTAAGCTCTTGAAGTAGACATTGGGAAGTTGTTGTTCTTTCTTTCTGTTTCTCTGCCACACTGAGGTAAGCAGCTTTGCTCCTCCATATTTTCCCCACCATTATTCAATTAGTAAGCAAGAATACATTCAACAATGTATACAAATAAGTACAGAGTAAGTACAGTAAAGGTCATTATCACAGACAAAGGAATATTCAATAATAAAGATTATAATATAACCATAAGGTCCTCAAATCCTACCTAACAGAGAAAGATGACATTTTCAAATGTGACTATTGCCTGCAGAAAAACATAAAACTTCTTGATGCTTCACAATTCCCTTTTTTTTTTTTTTTTTTTTTTGGTATCAGGGATTGAACTCATGCCCTTGCACTTGCCAGGCAGGCACTTGCGCTGGCAAGCCATATCCCTGGCCCCTAAACATTTATGTATTTAAGCTCATGAGAGACAGTTCTTAAAATGTGGGAATTGGACTGGGGATTGTGAATTTGATTCCCAATACCAAAAATAAATAAATAAATAAAGTTTTCATAAATGCTCTTATTTAATAACTAATTAAGTATTTTTGAGGTGTTCATCTCTACTTTTGCTTCATCCCAAAAGATTTTAAATGAGATAATTGTTTCATAGTCAAACCATAAAAGAAATATAGATATTCATATATATTTTCATATATACCGTTTTCATCTGTGGGGCACAAGCCCTGCTGACCATACGCAGAAGTTCATGGACACCTTGATAACTCAAGCCAGTCACCTTCATAAGTTCCAGTGGGGAAAGGCATAAAAAGTCCTAAAGAGATATAAAGAGAAAATTTTAAACGTATGTGTATAATAAAGATATTGGAATCAGAAAGAAAAAGGGAATGTCCAATTAATGCTGTCCACATCTAATAAGTATAACTTACCACAGATCAAAGAATTATGCTTTTTTTCAGCAGTAGGAATTGAGTCTAGGGCCTCGTGTTCAATTAAAATATGTTCATTAAATATAAATATATGTTCATTAAAATATGAACACAAATATTAAATGTATAACAGAAGGACAAAAGACATCTTTAATAGTCCAAACAATTCAAAAAGATTACAATATGTTCTGAAAGCCTATCTTTTTTTTGGAGGGGGGCTACTGAGAATTGAGCCCAGGGCATGCACATGCTACGTAAGCATTCTACTACTGAGCTACCACCTCAGTCCTTTTGAGATAAAGACTGGATAACATGCCCAGGCTGGACTGGCACTTGGCAATACTCCTGTATCAGCCTCCCAAGTAATAGTGTTTATTAACGTGAGCGCTACTGTACCAGCTAAATACGTTTTACTCAGGATAAAATCCTCAAATAAAATCTTACCTTCAAGTCTGTGTCACTATTTTGCTTAAAAATACAACATATACTGTATAGATTTCTCAGACCCCATCAATAAGAAAATGGTTCTAAAACAGTAGTCCTAAATATTAATTTCTCTTCTGGGAGAAATTATCCATGTTGAATACCATCTCCTCACCCAAGTCATATTTCTCATGAACTACACAATTTCTCTTAAGTGGATAAAACTTCACTAGAACCCCAGTAAGTAGGACAAGGGTACTTCATGGTACACCATGACCATCCTTCCCTAAAAATGCAAGCAAATTTAATTTCAATAAATGAATTTAAATGGATCACTGAAAAGCACAATTATTTAACTTTATTTTTTGCAAAACTAAGTTTTTGTACTCCAGGTTTAAAAGTTAATAGGTTATACTTAAAGTTAAGTAGCACTTAAAATTTCTTAGCAAAAAAATTAGTAAATTTTACCCGACAGGTAACAATCTGATGTCTGCTCAGACGGTCACACAGTTCTTGTGACACACCCACTCGTCTTAGCTTCTTGTTACTCATGACTCCAGATCCAGCAAAAAAAAAAGAAAAAATAATTAAATAACATGATAGCAAATGGGCTGTTATAGTTTGTGTCTAGATATCCCACAAAGCCTCATGCAGTCAGAGATTTTCAGAGGTGGTTAAATCTAGACTGTGTGATTGACTGGTGTGATGCTGAGATTAAGGATGCAGAGACCAAAAGAGGGTGACTGCTGGATCAAGCCACTGATTGGAATGGCACTGCCCTAATCCCAGCAGCCCACATAAGAGTATAAAAGGGGCAGAAAGACGCTGTTAAAGTTCAGTCATTGAGGGGCTGGGAGTTTAGCTCAGCGGCATAAGCACCTGCCTTGCAAGTGTGTGGTTGTGAGTTCGATCCCTGGTACTGATAAAAAACAAAAAGACCAAAAAAAAAAAAAACCTTATAAAAGTTCAGTCATTGATTTTGCTGTCTTCTGCTGCTATGAACTGTCATCCCTCAGCCATGCTACCCAGTCAATTATGGACTGAAACTTCGACAAACTATGAGCTAAGGACACCTTTCCCTTATTACGTTTGGGTGTTGCGTATTTTGTCTCAGCAATGAGAGAAAAGCAACTAAGATATGGACTATCCAAAACACTCTACAAAATAAAATTTTTCAACCTTCTTCTTGTACAAAATGAAATTACTCAAAGGCAGGGCCACAGAATCTTTAAGTAGGAGTCCCCATTTCATCACACAACAGAGAAAAACAAGACCACTTCAGAATGCTGATGTAGGTTTAAGCAGTTCTTTCAGAATCTTCACTGATCTCTACATGGCAAAAATTGAAGTTCCCCAAGTATCAAGTTCCTCCTGAGGCCGCAGCCCCACAAAACCTCTGGCAAGGGACAGAGACTAGCAGAAGAGGTACATATTAAACCCCAAGGCAGCTAGGAGTGTAAACGAAGTGTAGTACCAAAGACAAAAAAGAGGATGAAGTCTGACATGGAGTTTCCAAAAAGCTCCACAGCTCCAGGATGGACTGGCTCAGGTCTGCACAGCAGTCCCTCACACCTGCCCTTACAAAGAGGAACAAACATAATGTAGGTCTAAGTCACTCATAGCTATAGATTTCAGGTGACCTATCTGAATTCCAGAACATTACAACACTCAATGTTCATACCAAAAACCCAGAGATTTACTTCCTATCAACTAGAACAAAGACCTAAAGTCTCAATGAAATAAAGTTATCCTTCAAAATAGATTATCAGACATCTGATTTAAATGTGTTCACCTGTCCTTGTTGGACCTGCACCTGGTCCTAGCAATACACTGACCTGTCTATATACTGATGTGTAACAGGAGCATGATTTTTTTTAAAGCCTTACAGTTCACCTTTATAGGTAAGACATGACAAGAACATGCACAATTAAGCACAAAATGTGTTGTCAAAATCATGTCTGAAGACAGATTCAGTTTTCAGGTACTTGTAACCATAACCTATTTCATCCTATAGAAAAAACTAATATTTAGCTAGAATTGGTGCTCTGGATTAAACATCAGCAAATAATAGAATCCAGGAGTTTGAATTTGGTGGCAGCAATAGCACACCCACTTAGGTGCAGTGCTGCTTCCTCTCAGTTGAAGTAACAAAGATTTTACTATCCTGTCTTGGGACTGACAGCCTCCACTGAAGCACAGCCTTCCAGCTAGAAAGGGCACAGTTGAGTGCCAACTTGTTATGGACCCAGAGGCCCTATAACTACAAATATGAGCCAAGCAAATGCAGTCAGTCAGTCATTTAGGCAGGAGCTCTTAAAGGAGATAAGCTGAATGCAGAGATCCTGCAGCTCTCCAAGTACATGGCCCCTAAAAAATACTCCCTCCCATCAATCTAACTGCTTATTTGGGTGTGAAGTTTCAGGACAGTGATATTCCTTTTACAGAATTGAGGAAATGGAAGAAACACCATCCTCATATTAGTTAAAGCTTTGCTGTTCATGTCTCTCGAATACAAATAAAAATGAAAGAAATACAATCCTCTTCCCAGAGAAAAAATTTGAGCCAGTGAAAGAAATGGCAGCATTTCAAGCATCTAAAGTTAGGTGGCTGGACTTGATAACAAATCAGCCTCTCTACAGAGATTCCTAGTTTAGACTTCAAATAGCTGTAAACCACCGGCCCTAGTCATCAACCTACCATTCCTTCTTACCCCACCACAACTTACTAAATAAGCACTTGTCGGAGCTGTCCCTACTCACCAAGAGCAACATTCTTCTGCTCCTGTATTTCCTTCCATCCTGAGGTTCCCACCTTCAGGCTGGCCCCAACCCTGAGTAGCCTCCCATAGCTTACCAATGTGTAAGTACTGCTCTTTTGCCCTTCTGGATGTGGATCAACAGACTCCTTTAATTCAGGAGAGTTGGGTGCAGCCAGTCTTATTATCTGGACTTTAGTGCCTGTGGTCACAAATGGCCAGCTTTCCGGGCCTTAGAGGGCATCACCTCTAGCCTCTAGTCAGTATTCCTTTGAACCTTTCTGTCCTTCGTTACACCCAGCTCAGTAAGGCTACATAAAAAAAAACAAAGCTGCTGGGTGACCCTTGTAATAGCAGCCAGGACTTTCCAAATAAAGATTAGCATCCAGGACTCTGGCAGATAAACACCATCAAGTAGACAAAGACCAGCCAGGGATATTTTAATGCCAATTCACGAGCTGATGCCATCACTGAAGAGAGGCACAATGACCAGAACATGATGGGAAAATATAGGCTCAGCTTGAGAGGCAGGAGCCCCTCAGACTCATCCTATTGCAAGTACAGCTGTCCAACAACAGGCCTACAAAAAACCAGTAGCTGAAGTAATTGATAAGCAGGGAAATATTCTCCACAATGAGGTAGGTGAGTGCCATAGTGGAACTGAACAATAAAGCAAGAATAGGTGTAAAATGTTCAATGTAGAGCAAGACAGATTTGGAAGACAGTCCTCACAGAAGCCCACAAAGACCAAGCTTGATGAAGGAAAGACAGATAAAGCCCACCAAAGCAGAACATGCCAACAGCAACAGAGATGATCCAGCTGACCATGCCAAATGTTTAGCAAGCAAATGTCACACAGTATCACTGTTAAGGATACCTGAATGCCCAGCACTGTGTAATAGGCCATATTGGTCAGGATGTAGGCAAGCATACAATTGGCATAGATTCCAATGGCCAAGAGAAATTTCTTCCTGGATTTTTTATTTCTTCTGTTACAAAATTAAGGGTATCCCAATCTGAGTAAGAGAGTAGAAAAGAGGGCAAGACAGAGGTTTTTACACTCCCCGGAGGAAAACTTAAAGGCATCCTGAAAGTGCTCAAAGTATTCCCGGCAGTTCAACAAGGCCCTTAATAATGATAACAATGAGCATAGGACCTTGGCATAAGGGAACATGTCCTACACTCGTGTAACCCATTTGACAGAGGCACAATTCACATATGTCAGCAGACACATGCAAGCAGTATCAAGAGACAAGAGACCAGGTAGTAGTGATAACAGGTGAAGGAAGGAAGGCTGGATGATATAGTGGACAAAGGTGATAGTGATGATACCTTGACTGATAGGTTCAATAATTAGCAGTGAGGTCCACAGGTGGATGAACCCAACAAAGCCCCCAGAGACCTCTAGAATATAAGCATGACTGGTCTCTGCACTGGTGATGGTGGTCCCCAGCTCTACATAACAAAGGACATCCACAAAGGAGATGAGTCTACCAGTGGCCCACATGACCAGTAATAACCCATAAGGAGTATCATAACAGACGCATAGGTGACACAAAGACTTGTAAACCAACTGTGTCACCTATTCAGCAGGGAACACTTCTTCCTCAGCTGCATAGTTTCTGGGAACCTTCAAGGTGGTAAGCTGGTATCTTCCACCCTGAGTGGCTCGCCTCACAGACAAAGTAATAGGTGAGTTCTGGGTTCCCAGTCTCTCTGGATTCCATGGTAAATAGTTGTTACACCCCTGTGTTTACTGGGTTGTGTCACAAAATAAGTGAAAAAAAATCACACATTCAAAACTTACTTCATCACAAACAGGTCAGGCACATAGAAGAAAATGAAGTCTCTACAACAAGAGCTAATTCCATTTGTCTGTTTGGTCATTTAATCTCTCCTGATGGCCAGGAACAGCCAGCATGCTTTCCCTTCAAGGCATATTTCTAAATAGTATCCCCAGAAGTCTTCACCATTATTGCACTATACTAATAATTAAATGTATTAAGTACCTTCCATATAGACAGCACTGTTCCAAAGCTTAACCTTAATTATCACACTTAATATTCTCAAAAGGCCTGAGGAAAGTAGATTAACCTCATGTTCATATATGAAAAAACTGAGCCACGGATTTAGCTCAGTAGGGTAAGTGCCTGCCTGGCAAGCGCACAGTTGTGAGTTTGATTCCTAGAACCAGAAAAAGAAAGAAAGAAAGACATATATAAGAAAACTAACCTAGAAATCATCCAGTCACAATAAAAAGTAAACAGGAGATCCAGAATTTGAACACAGTCTGACACCTATTCACTTAACCATTACATTCTACTTCAAGTCCATAACCATACTTAATCTTTTTCTAGGAGTCAGAACAAACATGAGTCAAATGTGATTTTATTATTATTATTATTATGAGTGTTACTGATAAACTAAAACTGTTTTGTTGTATTCTCTACTTATACGTACTCTTATTATACCTGGCTGTGGGCAGTTAAACTCAAATGTTTCTTTGGAGAGCTGTGATTTCTTTAACAATGCATGCAAAGAAAAGTCTGTTCATCACTGAGGTGGCAAACCATCCTCTGCAAAGAGTTGAAATGTGAACTTTCATTGTTTCAGAAGTAAATATAATTATGAATTGACATTTTTTACTTCCACGTTTATATGTAATATCTAAATTCTCTAATCACAGCAAATCTCTGACACAAAAACACAAACACAGCGCATGAACATGTACACTTACCTTTTAAAATGAGAATGTACTAGTATCAATTTGTTTCTCTAAACAGAAAAGTTTACCAAGTAATCTCTATCTGCTATGTTATTACCTAGTGTCTTTTTAAATCAGGTAGTTCTAGGCAATAATAACCACTTAAACTGATTAATTCAACTAATCAAAAGAAATAAATGAAACTGTAAACTGGAAAATATAGAAACTTTAACAATAACCAATTCTGTTACCTGTGCCTGGATGGATCACTCCCACCATTTGCCTGGACCACAGCATACTAACTCTGGTCACTTCTTATTTTACACACACACACACACACACACACACACACACAAAAGGAGGAGGAGGAGGAAGTGGAAGAAGAGGAAAATAAATCCAACCTACTCTCCATTCATTTGTATTTGTTCCTCCCAAAAACACTTCTTAAGCAGACTCTCCTAAGCTCTGTGATATAAGAATCATTTTAGTATATTTCTTTCCCTTTGAGTACTCACACTTGAGAGATGGAAAGAGAGGTACACAAATAAACAAAGCCATGCAGTAAGCATGCTATTTAAATGTGCAACAGAAGCATCCTCCTTCCAAACAGGAAGGAGCCTGAAATTGGCCTGAAAAGGTCAGGTCAGTGTCACCTTCTTACCAGAAGTAGCCTGGTAAAAAGCCACTTTTCATCCTTTAAAATGTCCTCTGGCACCACCAGACCACAGAATAAATTCCACACTTATTTTGAAAAATTTTAAACCTGGATCCCTTACTTCATTCTCACTCATACATCAGATTGTGAGACTCTGATCCTGGCTTTCCTGACAGTCATATAAGTTCCCAGTACACTGGTTTCCACATCTGTAAAACAATAGTGATTGTAATTTCTACTCAATAAGCCTGTAGGAGGTAATGGCTGGCACCATAGTGCTCAAGGTCATCAATCATCATCAATGCATTCAACAAACAGCATTTGGTGCCCCTTACATAACCTGTTCTCCAGCCATAAAGATATCCATAAGAATACTCAAGCACCATTCTGCCTGACTTTCTTCCACAAAACCGTCCCCACAGTCGCTTTCATCCTTTCTCCAATGATTCCACCTTACTGTGTACATATTTGTACCATAATCTTACCAACGCGTCAGGACGCCTTCTGTGTGTTTCTTCTGTGTATGCGTGTGAGCCTGCCTATGTGTTTTCAGCAGAGGGGAGTTAATGCAGCCCTGAAGACTAACCTCTCTCCTTTGCACCTGCAAGAAAAGAAAAACCTTCACGGTGGAGGCACTGTTCCCACTGCTTCGAGTTTTTACCTCATTTTATAGATAAGGCTACTGAAGCACTGTGGTGAGAAACGCGCAAAGTCACCGCATCCCACAGAGGACCCGTGTTCGAATCCAAGGTAATGACTCTAGATCCCGCAGTCTTCACCATTTCAAGTGAGACAGTCCCTGAATTTCTCCCCAAAGTGCCTGAATGGGGGTAGGGAAACGAAGAGGCGATAACATTACCCAGAATCTCCTTTACAAAGGCTTTCTCCAACAAAGTGCAGCTTCCAATCATCCCTTCCTCCCCAAATAGCGCCAGAGACCCTTGAATCCCTACCGGCTTAAGGGGGCGTGACCAGCACCCAAGAGAGACTTCACTACCACGGTATCAGTGTTCACGGGCTTGGAGGCAGCAGGAATAATGAGTACACCCACTCCCCCACAATTTCTCCCACAGAAAACTTTCCCAGTACCGGGTCTACAGGGTCCAACTTTCAAAATTTCCCCTCCCCTTACACAGGTCAACGAGGAAAGCTCCGCAAAGCAACAACCGAAGATCGGGTTGGTGATTTCCCTGTCGATTTACCCAATCAGAGGGGGGCAGAGGCGCAGGTTGGTTCCGCAGCTTGCTGGGAATTGTAGTTTGCTCTCTCTAAACAGGATTGGAGCGAGGAGTGTGCTGTTTCCCATTGTAGTGATTATCAAAACCGAAGGCCAGAACATAAAGGAGAGTGTGAAACAGGAAAAACCTTGCTTGGAATTTTCTTTCTTGTAAGACTGCATTTAAAAATTGATTAATCGGCACTCAGGAGGTTGAGATAGGAGGATTTCTGCGAGTTCAAGTCTAGCCTAGGTTACATAGCTAGACTCTGTTTCCAAAAAAACGAAACAAACAAGCAAAAAAAAACACACATGCAGAGAAGCATGTTTTCTGGAGAATAGGAGACAGTTCACCACCTATCACAGAAGTTTTTGGAAGAGAGCTTTCTAGTTTATATTGTGGTTTCAGTTTTGTTTGGTTTTTTGTGACAGGTCTCACTATGTAGGCCAGCTGGCCTTGAACTCGTGGAGATCCTCCTGCCACAGTGCCTCAAGTGCTGGAATTACAGGCTTGTGCCCGTATGCCCAGCTGTTGGTTTTAATTTGCTCTTTTCACAGCCCTTTTTGTGGTGAAATTGTTTGGGAAACGCTGACTAAAATTGCTCAAATCGAAGCACACACATTGGGGAAACCTACGATTCTGATTAAAGGTTAAAAAACCAAACAAGGAAGCAGCTGTGATGAGGAAACGTGACAGTTAAGAATTGGTTTCAGATTATTATATTTGCCAAAACTCTGTGCTTATTCTTTGTTCTCCCCTCTGCAGCTTCCTTGTCTCTATCACATAAGTTAGCCCACCATAATTTAATTACTGACCTACATCCGTCACTTGAAAAAAAGGAAGCACATTTTATTCAGCTTCTAAAACAGGGCCTACCTAGAACATCAGTCAATTAAAAATTGTAATGTAGGTGGTATGGTGGTATACACCTGTAATTCCAACACTAATGAGGCTCAGACAGGTGGCTAGCAAGTCGGAGGCCTGCCTGGACCACATAACAAGTCCACTTTGTCAAAAAAAAAAAAAAATCAAAAAAATGAAGCCATAAATGAATAGAGTGAAGCAGAACATGACTGCAGAGTTCTGAGACTGTAAGGGGGCCCAATAGAATAATTATAAAGAAGGACAGAGCTCTCCTAGTTCTGGGAACCCCCAGTTCCTGGGAAAGTACTATCACTGGTAGTCCCTATGTAAATGTTGATTTTTTTTTTTTTGGTCTTTTTCCTTTTTATCGGTACCGGGGATCGAACTCACGACTACCTGCTTACAAGGCAGGCACTTATGCCACTAAGCTAAATACCCAGCCCCATAAATGTTGACTTCAAGTGCTAGAGAGAAAGCAAATGAAAACAAAATGAGCATAGCTATTCCTGCCACCTGCTCGGCCAATATAGAACTAAAGGTGTTGAGGGGAGGAGTTGTCATAATTGAGGAAGATGGTCCACAGCCAAGTAGCTAGTTGTTTTAACTTTCTGAGTTTCTTAGCTTTCCTTAGTAAGGCGACATCTTGTCACGTGACTCAAACAAATATGGCACTTAATTTGCATCTTCCCTTCATTGAGCCAATAGGAGTGGCGCTCTCTTTGATCACCACCGCCCCATTCCCGCCTCCACCACCACAGTTCACAGCGGAATCTGTCACCTGACCCGGCTCAAACATGGCTGCGCTGGAAATGTTACTGCTTTGGCTGCCTAAAACAGGTGAGTGTAAGACGCTGGGGAAATGGGAGCGCCCTCCAGGACCCCGGTAGGAAGTGTCTCTAGCCTTCACTCCCCTAACCCCACACTGCTTTTTTGGCACAGATTTTCTCCTGATGTTCAATCCTCTGCCTTAACAGAAGGCTCAAAAAGAGGAGTGTTCCTGCTGAATCGACCACCTGGGGATTTGGAGCCAGCCTGGGCGAAACGTTCCGGAGAGAATATGGATGTAGAGTTTTACGGGTCTTAGTCCCGGCCAATACGGCGATTGATGTTGTTAAATGTAGGATCTGCGTAGAGATGGGATTAATCCCTTGGAGAAGGTGGCACCGCTCCAGAAGAGATAGTAACGTGTCAAATTTAAAACATTTACGCAAATAAAGTCCCGCTTTCCCAGTCTGGTCCGTACTTACTGGTTTGTCTAGCTTCGGTCTTTCTCTCATATGTTGTTTTTTTAGGAAGTACTCCACGAATGGAACCATTAAGAATGTGTTCCGCGTAACGCATCTCTTTCTACCTCCCTGCACTCGGTGCTGGGAAAATGAATCATCCGTTTGGAAAAGAAGAAACTGCTACCGAGAAGCAGCTTTTTGGATTTTTCTGTGAGTGCCTGCGGAGGGGGCAGTGGGAGCTGGCACAGGCATGTATCCATCAGCTACATGAGGCCCATGGGGATATCCCAAAGAGGGTAGAAGACATACTTAAGGCGCTGGTGCTGTGTCCAGATCTACTGAGGTAAGCAATCTCCCATCCCACTAGGGGGTCTCAGAGCCTGAGACACATAATTCCTTCTGTCTATGTATCCTATTCAACTACACTTTAAAAAATTAAAAGAAGCAAAGTATATTTCACATGCCCTGAAAATTTACTTGTAAAATATTACCCATTAATTTTTAATTTACTGGCTTTAGATTATCTTCTGAAATTGGATTTAAACCTGGCCACTAAAGTGTACCTGAAACCATTTCTTGTTTATTATTCTTAAAGATAATGGTGTAGCTACGTTGAAAAGTGTTTGCCTTGGCTGGGGATTTAGCTCAGTGGTGTCCCTGCCTGGCAAGCACAAGGACATGAGATCAATCCCTGGTACCAAAAAAAGAAAGAAAAGCGTTTGCCTCCAAAAAGGCAAACCCTAAGGCTGGATGTGGTGGCATGTTCCTGTAATCCCAGTACTCTGGGATGCTAAGACTGGAGGAGGATCAAGAGTTTGATCCCAAGGGCTGGGGATTTAGCTCAGCGGCATAAGTGCCTGCCTTGCAAGCAGGAAGTCGTGAGTTCGATCCCTGGTACCGAAAAAAAGACAAAAAAAAAAAAAAAAAAAGAGTTTGATCCCAGCTTGGACAATTTAGCAAGATCCTGTCTCGAAATAAAATATATAGTAAAAAGGGATGGGAATGTAGTGCAGTGCAAAGGCCCTGGATTCAGTCACTAGTTAAAAAAAAAAAAAAAAAAACCTGACTGTCTTCTTGCTAATGGGATTGAGGTTGAAGACACTTCAAAAGATTGAAGTGAATTCACTTAAAACTTTCATTGTGAAATAAGTATAGACTCAGGAAGTATAATAGCAGTCAGTGTACCTTTTCCCCAGTTTTTCCCAATCGTGACATCTCATTTAGCTATAATACAATATCACACCAGGAAACCAACATTGGTACATTACTGTTAGCTATGCAATAGATCTTATTTGTTTTGCACTATTTTTTAAATCTGCATTCATGTTTTATTGCTAGTTCTATGTAATTTACTGATACGTAGATTCTTGTAATCCATGGTAATAATGGTAGAACTGTTGATTCACTACGAAAGAATTCCCTCCTTCTTGTATTTGCACTATGACCGCTCTTTGTCTCCTGGTAACCAGAGTTCTCTCTCCTAGGTGTATAATAAAGTGCTTTCTGGCAATGCTATTAAATAGTACTCAACTAGGAATCAAATGTACTGTTTAGTCTTTCCCTGGTTTATCCTTATCTTTAACTGTTAACACTCTGTAGGTGTTGTATTACTACATTAAGAATGGAAAAACCAGTGATTTTTATTCCTTCCTTTTTTTTAAACTTAAATTTGGATTCTACCTAAGTTAGTGCTTAAATTACTAACTTTAAAGAAACGTATGCATTCCTAGAACTTTTTTCACATGGATAAAAATAAATTTTTATGATTTCCTTTTTTATTTTATATTTGATTCATTCTCTGTGTTCAGGAATGTACTTCGGGTAGCATTAGTTACTATGATTTTCTTTGTAACATTATGCTTAAACACAAGACTGGGCATGGTGACACACTCCTATGATCCCAGCACTCCTAAAGCTGAGGCAGGAGGATTGTTGCAAGTTCAAGACCGGCCTGGGCTACAAAATGAGCCCAAGGCCAGCCACTCTGAACTACATAGTGAGACCCTGTGTTCAAAAAAAAAAAAAAAAGACGAAGACTAAACCAGATACAGTGGCATGTGCCTGTAGTGGTAGCAACTGATTAAGCTGAGGCAAAAAGATCTCCTGAACATGAGAGTTCCAAGATCAATCTAAATAACACAGCAAGACACCTTTAAAAAAAATTTGAAAAGGAGGATATGGAGGTAGGATTGAGATTTTTTTTTTAATGAAAGGTACCAGATCTGTTCTGATTCTGATATTTTACTGAACTGTCCTATGCAATTGAAAATTTTTTATTAGAACTTGCCTGTTCAGGTTTAAAATAGACTAGCAGTGAATTTTAAGTTTTGAATCACAAAAGAGGAGATGTCTATAGAAACTTTTTTTTTTTTTTTCACTTTTTACAGATCTGGGCAGGACATCAGCCCCCAAAGATTAGCTTGGCTCTGGCTTCTTGTACTGGAAAAATGGTTGACCCAGGAAAAGGTAAGTGATTTCACATTAATACTTTCCCAAGGCCAAAACAGAGAAGAATTCAGAGTGGTTATGGAATTTCCCTTTTGTGTCTTACTTCCTTTATTGTGAAGTAGGTCATATTGTTTCTTGCTTGCTTTGTTTCTTTCTTTCCTTTTTTTCTTTTTTGAGCCAGGGTCTCACTATAAATTCAGGATAACCTTGAGCTTACTCTGTAACCCAGGCTGGTCTCAAATTCACAAGGATCCTCCTGCCTCAGCCTCCCAAGTGCTGTAATTACAAGCATGTACCATCACGCCTGGCCAT